AATCAATTTTATTTCGCGCGTTAAACTCGCAAGCTGCTGGTATGAAATCTATTAGGATTTCTTTTTCTATTACGGCATTGTAACAAAAAAATAAATTATTTTAAATGTGTGGTTTAAACAAAAAAATATTAAATATACATGATAACAGAATTCATTCTTCCGCAGAGTATAATTTCAATATTTGTTCAACCATTAAAATAATAAAAAAGTATGTTGACAAAATTATTATCAAAAAGGGGTAGATAAATCGGTATCAGTTTTTAGTATATTGCTACATTTTAGCAAACGCTATCTGCAAATTTCAAAAATAGTTTTAGGCAATCTGGTGTTCAAATTAGTAATTTCATTGAAAACTTTTCCATTTTTTTAACCCAATCAAAGAAAAATGTATAATTACATACCCGATGAAATATGAAACGAATATTCTACTAATAATATGTATTAATCTAAAGGTATTCATGTTTATTTGTTAATCCTTCACGTTAAAAAGGCTGAAGGGATCGAGATGAAAGTTGGAACAGTCTTTATACAAATATTCACTTCTGTCCACGTCTTCGGGGAACAAATTGTCTTACAGAAGTACCTAAGTTCTTTTTAAAAACGAGTTTCCTTACTATAAGAAGCCGTTTCATGTAAGTAAAGGAAAATTGAGGTGTTTTATAGCAAGGGAGGTCCGACAGTATCCACATGAGAAAAATAGCTTACTCGATAAAATATGATTGGGAGCGATCTTTCTTATTGCCCGGCTCTTCACCTATGGGATACGGGTTCCGTGTTTGTAAATAATAATCAGTCTTTTGAGGCCAGTAGGTTAGTGTGGCTATACCTTTAGTGGTTCATCTAGCATTTTGAAAGAATATTGCCACGCTATGGTTTTCTCCCGTGTCGTGGACGAGATTACATGTAGGTACACAATAACACTTAAGAAAGAATAATAATTATGATATTATTGTTGTTTACCAGCAGTCTAGAGTAGCAACGCGACGGGTATCGCGTGTCGCGGAATGCTGCTCATGAATACGAGCCTCTAGCATGGGTTGAAACTAGTCGAGTTCCACGTCAAAAACCTACGTGAGTAACCCGAAGACGATGATATTGTAAATGAGTCAAGTAGTTGCGAAAGTACATTTATTATTGCACAAACCTCCTTTAATAATGGTGTCTAATTTTAAAGGGTTAACATAGTACTTACCTATAATTACTGATTTTGTATTAAGATTGTATCGTCATTAATCCTAAGGATTTTAAGCATAGGAGTAAGTATCTATTTAGCTTCAGATCGAGGCTTTGCAATGTCAAAATTCTATTGTAATAATACCTCATTTAGCTAATTAATAACTATGATCTTTACCTTAAATCATTCCGGTAGTATCTTTGAACCTGTATGCAATTTAAATAATCCTCCTGCCTTTTAACAAATGCCATATAATTCAGACGAAAGACGCTACGAAATCCAGTCGGAATAACATCCCAAGGACTATCTATGAACTCGAAAATCAACTTCAAATGGAAATAGAATTGTTATCAGGCTGTTTATTTATCTTTTCCTCGAAACGTTCTGGAATATTCCTTCTAATTAACTCTATGCATATGCATAAAGTGTTCCGACGAGATGATGCAACTTATACATTCCCAACACGCGCAATACAAATTACAAGTAAAACGATATGGTGTCCCTTTAAATAGACGTCTCTCGATTGCACATCCCTTTCCTATCAAAACAAATATTAGCTTGTTAGAAAACGAAACTAACCTCTTTCTCTTAAATTATAAGGTTTAGTTTTGTGTGTTGGTTGAACCAAAACAAGAAATGATCACCTAGGACCGGCAGTGGCCGGTCTCTAGGGGCTAAGAGTTCCAATATATTTGTGCGGGCTCGGGCTGGCAACTCTTCAAGATTACTGTCAGCAAATAGGACAGGCCGACGTGCTCTGAAAAGTAGATGGCCGATAATACGACCTAGTGCAACTTCCGATCATTTCCTTCACTCCTGGGATACTCTGACACTTGGGTGGTAATTCCTTTTTGATATACTCGTGTCGAGGTGTACGAGAAATTTGATGACCAATGTATTTTTTTTTATTAAATTTCTTATTGCCTTTCACTTAGTAGCGAACGAGCGAACGTGTGTAGATCTGAAGACAATTTGAAGTTATTTTTCAATAATCTTTTCATATCGGTAAGATATTGATTACTGACTGCCTCGTTGGCCGAGTGGTCGCAAGTGCGACTGCCGGGCAGGGGGTCTTGGGTTCGATTCCCGGATCGAGCAAAGTATTATTGTTTTTTTTTAAATATCAGTAACAGCACGGAGTCTGAAATTGTGCCCGGTATATGGCAATAGGCTCACCCCCTATTACATGGGACTCATAACATAAATAGTGAAAAGTGGGTGTTACATTATACAGTGGCATAATGTGCACCTCTGCCTACCCCTTTGGGGATAAAAGGCGTGATGTTGTTATGTTATGTTATTGATTACTGATCTTATTATAATTATTATAGGAAACAATTTTGTTTTGTATCAGGTAAGCTTATGTTAACATACGTGATCTAAACTCTTGTACGTCAGCACGTTTATCTTTAAGAACGAAACATGCTAAAATCATCTCCATACACAGTTGAATACAAATAAACAACAACAAACTTAACCTTTAAATCCTTTATCTAACCAACTTACCACGAAGTTGCAACTTACTAACAAATAACTTCATAAATGCATCGAACAACGTGAAATAACTGGATAACAAACGTTATTCACAACTAGTTACACACAGAGTACAAAGTAATACGTGGTTACAGTCAAAGGTTTGAAGTAACGATATCGACGTGAGCTCAAGTCTTTTGTGTACTATTTATGATAGACACACGCATGTAAAGCTACTTAAAATTCTCAAAATTCGTTAGTGATTTTGAACCTTAATGTAAAGTGATAAGTTTGAATACACAATTAACAGAGTGGAGTAGTTTAAAGTGCTGGTGTCTACTATTCCAATAGCATGGCTCTTTATATCCCTTACGTGACACGTACGGCTTCTAAGTGCATTGTCTAAGTAAAATGCAAGTAAACGTTTAGAAAGTGCACTCAATATTATATGCTAGTATTTAGGCTGCTTATATATTTATGGTAACATCGTTGCCATCTATAGATTCTATTAAGTATTTAGTTTATCTCTTTGGAATACCGCCATAGATAGCAATGGGTAGGGCATTTCCATTCGGTTTATAGTAAGCCAGTACATACTGACTGCACTGTTTGACTTCACGGTTGGTGCGGTGGCTGGGCAACTGGCTGCCGCGCAACGTGTCGCGGGTTCGATTCCCGCACGGAACAACTCTTGTGTGATCCACAGATTGTTGTTCCGGGTCTGGGTATCATGTGTATGTGAACTTGTATGCTTGTAAACGCACTTACGACACAGGAAAAAATACTAGCGTAGAGTAACGTGTTTTTAAAAAAAAAAAAAATCTTGTTAGTTGATAATGATCAGTTTTAAATTTCGAAGTAAAGCAACATGTGGCAGATGAAACCACGTCACTTAATCCTTTTAAACGTGATGAGAAACCGATAAACACGCAATAATCAACAGCAGCACGGAAAGAAAGATAATTACAGCAGTCGTTGAGTCGTTGACAAAGTTCGAATCGTGGGACGAGAGCAAAGTAATATCTGTGTGAGTGGCGGCGCGTAATTGAAAGCCGCGGTTTGGCCCAATAACAATGGAACCCCGTACAGTAACGTTCGCCGCGTATAAATTAGGGAATTATATTAATCGCGTATAACGCCGGCGTCCCCCCCCCCCGCGCCTCGCCCCGTGCCTAACGAGGTTACTCTTGTTGCGGATTACGTACTTGTAGCTGGAAATTACACTTTATTACGGTTACAGTCTAGGAATCCGAGAACTTTAATTAGAAGATCCTCTATGTGGATATTAGCGTTTAAATATTTAACTCGTAACATTTTTACTCTGTGTATAAAATTAAGCTACACTATCTTTACAACACTAAAGAAAATGCCGGTGAAATTTTCTTCCTTGCAACAAGATTTTTCTGCGAGATTAATACCGAGATAAAAGGCTAGGTAATTTTTGCAAGCATTAACGTTCCCGGCGATATTATTTATAATTTAATTTTCAGTGCCGCTGCAGGGAGCACAATCAATTTGCGAGAAGATAATGCGCGGGAAATTAACGCAAGATAACACGGTATTAGCGACCCACCTGGGGAAGGATAACGTATTCCAGATAAGTAAATATATTGCCCTCCATTACCAGAAAAGAACAGATATTTAAGGGAAAACACTGTAATGTAATTGTCGGTGCAATCTAAACGAGCTTCAATGAAACTCGAGGGAACATCTAACACTGTTTATCAGTGGTGCGTTCTGTGGGCCTTTTGTTTATTATGGGCTCGATACACCGCGCCACATATTTTAATATTCTTAAGCCTTTGTTCTGGTGAACATCACTGGGACATTTAAGTTTCAACAAACTTATCACAGTTATTTGTAAAGAAAAGTTTGGGGAGGTTTTGGCAACGTAAACACAATGAATTTTAGGCACAGCGAACATTATGTTATGATATTTGTATATTAAGATGTTTGTATGCATTCATCAATCACAAATTGTCGGCATCGCCCAGCATGAGTCCGCAGTCGATGACGTAGCAAGTTCCAGTGATACAAGTTGCTCTATCACTCGCGAGGAACATCACTAGTTCCGCTACATCTTCGCCTTTTGTTATTTTTCAAAGGAGCGCTCATTTCGATGCCAGCAAACATCCTATCACAGTTTGTTTCACTCATGCCTCCTCTTTTAAACATTTCTGTCTTCACAGGTCCTGGATTACAGCATTCACTCTGACTCCTCGTGGTCCTAGTTGCAGCGCTGTACATTTAGTCAGCATATCGATAGCTGCTTTGGACATGCAGTATGGAGTCATGATGGGCAGCGGTTTGTTTGACAGGATACTAGAAATATTTACGACGTTCCCCTTCGTTTTCAGTAAGTACGGTGTCGTTTAGTAGTGAGCAGGTACGTGGCACGTACATTCGTTGCCATAACTCGGTCGTAAGTTTCTGCTGACGAGTGAGTTTCGGGCACGGAGTTTATCCCAGCATTGTTGATTAGAACGTCTATTTTTCCGTATTTATTTGCAGTGTCTTCTACTATTTTATCTAGGTCAGTGTCTGATGTCACATCTGCAACTATTAGAAGTGGTTTTATATGGTTTAGTTTTTCACATACTTTTCCGATTGTGCTTAGATTGTCTAGGTTTCGTCCTACTAGTGATAGTGTGGCTGACGATTTAGCGAAGGCAAGAGCGCAGGCAGCTCCTATCCCCGAGCTGGCTCCTGTGATGAGCACTACTTTGTCAGTGAACATCGTACGAGGTGTAGGTGAGTACTGAGTGATATTGTAGGAAAGCTGCAATATACATAGTGGAGCCGGTAGTGAAACACTTCCGCATGTCATGTGTGACCACACGGTGAAACTGTTGGGATCTAATGTCGTTCTAACTTCCTGGTGTATTTAGTTTCGTCAAGTTTATTATTATATTCTTTGGTAGGTACGTATAATTTGGTTTGTATTAATGTTTCCCTCGTTGGACTAGTAAGTAAATGAAAACGTGACTTTTTACAGAAGGCTTTGGGTGATTCTAGTCGATTTTTGAAGTTACTTATAGAATTCCTAAACCTGAGAATGTGGTAACAGTCTGACTCTATTAATAAACACAATACGGTACAGTATACGTATCTGTTTTAGTTTACAATAAACTAAGTCTAGGTTTTGACAGTCGTTCGGTATCAGGTACCGTGAGCCGGCGATGTCCCGGCACGATAGCGGGGACTGGTTTAATTCGTTATGACGCAACCGTGCCGGTAGCCGGTAGTGCCAGCCGGCTTATGAAAAAACCGTTTTAAAGTTTTTATTTCATATTTGGTGCATTCCAACCGACTGGTCTGGAAGGTATTGGGGAAGCCTATGTTCAGTGGTGGATGTGTTGTGGCTGATTTGGTTATATTAGTGATCTGGTGCCTTATTATTGTATTGTGTAGTCATCATCATCATAACATCACGCCTTTTATATCCGAAGCGGTAGGCAGAGGTGCAAATTACGGCCATTAATGCCACTGTATAATGTAACACCCAATGTTGCCTATTTTATGTTATGAGTTTTTATCATAAACCGGGCACAATTCCAAACTCAGTAGTACTATTAAGAAATTTTTCAAAACATAGTACTTCCCGACCTGGGAATCGAACCCAAATCACATTGCCCGGCAGTCGCACTTACGACCACATGGCCAATAAGCCAGTCTAGGCAGTTTTGTCTAGTTCTTGTATATATGTTTATTATTACATATTTATTGGTTATCTTTCCATCTTTAATATTGTGTCACTGAGAGGTGGAAGTTAGGAGATAAATGAAATACGTGTCTAATTTTCGATACAATTTATTGGAGTCATCTCGATATACGAAAGACAACATTCAAAATTTGAAGCGAATTTTATATTTACATCGTCACTTATATCAAATCGAAACTTATCATAAAAGCTCCCTAAATTGTCTTTGGCACTTGCTTTACACTAATACATAATTTAAATACATTTATAGATAGGTTAAAGGGAAGTTATGAATAGATGAACAAGGGGAAAGCTGTATAATAAGTAGAAGTACCACACACAAAGAATCACAACCGAATTTTTAGATTTCCAAGCATTTGAATTTTATTTGGAACAAATGTTTGCCAATTCAGGACAGGGCAGGACATGTTATTGGCATACGGCCATCCGTTTAGATGTAAGAACATTTGTCCACATGTCCAAATGTTTTGAAAAGGAATTGGATGTAAGAGTCCCCTCTCATCTCCGCAGGTGGACACCCAGCCTTAGCCAATAAGGATCGTGAGGCCAATACTTAAGGAGGGAAACGGTTTCACTCCCAAGAGGGATTTGTAACCGAATGATTTGCATATTTATGTTGAGACAACAATATTATCATTGCAGATTAGTTTTCGCTATGTGGCAAATATTAATAAATAAATTATTTCTAGAGGAGATCAGGAAATCTATGGCGGCGAATGAATTAGAAATTTGGTGTAGAGATTGTTCTTTTTCGCTTTATTATATCTTGTTCTCAAGGGATTATCTTGAGATTTTGAGGTGTAGGTAATTTAAAACATTGGATGCCGTGTCGGGCAATGATGTCCGACGCTAGCGGAGGTTAGCCTTTAACAGTTTTTATCGGCAGTTAAAGGCTTAATCGAATGACCTAGTAAACAACCTTAAGATTTATTCCAAGGTTACAATACAATGTACCTAATGTAAAATAAGAGCAATTGAGTGAAGAAATCTAGGTATATGCACAGATTATGTTCTCTAATGACAATAGAACTACTTGATATTAAAATGGATGATGAAAGCAGAATATTAACAGACTTCACTCGTCATTTAGGAACGCACTACAAACATGGGAATTGAAGATTTATTTCAAAGTGTTAAAGTTCTTTATTGCAACGAACGTGCAGAAATATTTCATAGGATTTCGGTAAAATTGACGATCGAATTGGCATGAGTCAGCAATTTCGTTGACCACATTGGGTTGTATGAAATTCACGATTATGACGCGAGTAAAATCTGTTAAATGCACTCTACCGTACACTAGTAAATATAGTCGAATACTAGTCATAAAACACTCGTAACTTTGTACAAAAATGATGTGTGTAAACACTGGAGGGAGTGCGATACTGGACGTTTGTGTTATACCACCCTTCTACACTTAACATCTTATCGTTAACACGTACTTATAGTTACAGTCTAATTAAACTTAAGTACTTAGATACTTTTGATAGAGGAACTTAGCGGTAGGGTTGTGCGGCGAACTGAAGAGCCGCTGAGCTATCGATCATAAAGGTACAATTGCACAAATATGCTGGGCTTACCATGGTGTTCAGTGAAACATACGTTACTAACGTGGTACAGATCGTAAACAAAATGTTCACCGTATGAAGTATGAAGGGTAGCCTCGATGGTAAGGTCCGGTCGATACACGGCGGACCAATATATTAATATTTTGCCCACCGAACCGAAGAGGAGCATCAAAATACCTCGCTCACAACCATTTTTAAATCAATTTCATCCAACTTATGAAACATGTTTTCGATGAACTGGAAACTTTTAAAAAGTAAACGCGCTAGTCTTAAAAATATCGCAAATTATTTCGCTTACATTTTAATTACATCATGTTCTCGAACAGGTACGTGTGACTCCCGGTCTTAAATTTTACATTGTTTAATAAACAAAGGGGCTTACGTCAAAACACGAAGTTTACACCCTACTTAGACTAAGTTACCCTTACAAATTGTGACATTGTAATCGACTACACAATAGAAAAACATACAATTACATAATTAATTCCTACGTAATGACTAAAATTAGAAACTAGAACTTTTATATAAAAATAATCACATGTTTCTACTACTATCACTAGAAGCGGCTGTACATGTTAAAATTAAATTATTTACATCTACAACTGTATTCCATGCCGTACATTATACTAATTAGAAAAAATCTAGACGTCGACTAGGTTCTAGACACAGAATATGAAAAAGACTACGTACATAGAATCGAACATCTAAGATTCGAGATCACAATATCGCTTGGCAATATAACCTTACATATAATGACTAGCAACCTACACGAGATCAACATTCAGAATGGCTTCAGATGTAAAATATGTATCGTTGATTAATCTTAATAAATAAGCTCACCGGATTAATTGCATACATATACGCAAATAATGCTTAAGTATCCTCAGACCAACAGCCAATGAAATTACTTGATAAAATTGTAAAAGCGTACGTATAAATGTACCTACGTAATTGTATAAAGTTGGGAAATATTTTAAAATATGTCTACAAAATATGGCAAGGTCGGATGAATCAATTCTACATAATTAGAGGGCGACTCTAATTCTGTTATTAACTCGATTCAATTCCAGGATAAATTGACTGACCCAGGGTACAAACGGGTCAAGCAGTTATTAAAATAATGACTACGATATACATATTTTATTCTACAAAAATAAATACAGTTTCAATGGCTGTCGGTGTTTCTACGAGATGTAATAGGGATGATGACGGGCTATATAAAAAAAAATAATGTTCGTTAGTCCCGCTAAAACTCGAGAACAGCTGAACCGATTTGGCTAATTTTAATCTTGAAATATTCATGAAAGTCCAGAGAAGGTTTAAAAAGAGGAAAACAATTTTTAGGCGGTACGGAATTTGAAGCTAGTGATAAATCAAAGTCGTTTAAAGTATACTATGTCAAATAGTCTTGCTCAGATTAACTTTAAAAAGTAGGTTCATGTCATTATAGGCATTTATCATCAAGTGTCTTTAAAATTGCATAGCTTATTTTTTATTTAACCTGGTGTATAGAAATATTTTTGTCATCATCCCTATTTCATGTACTGACGTCTAGGCATTCTTAAGATGATGCGCATCATGATCGCAGCGGCGTAGGACGGCAAAGTGCGTCATTTGGAAGGTGTTCGAGGTTCGGGAGCCACGCTCCAGGGTGCCTGTCATGGTGTACCCCATGTTGAAGTCAGCCTGCGTCACGTTCGTCGTCAGATACAACTGTTGAATAAATAAGAATCTGTTAAACTTAAGCTACATTATGTTACTTCATTTATCTATAATTATCAATAATTTCGTCAAGGGGTACGGTAGACTCGATCGAAACATTACCTGAATAACAAAACATAAAAAAATATCGATTTTGAGTCGACAATATATATCCGCAAAATTCTGATTACGGAGATTATTTCATTTTAATGACACTGGCAGACAAACCGCAGTCGCCATCTTGAGTAGACAATAAACGTTCCGTTTCATACTAGCTCTCAAATACGCCTCACCAATCAACACGTTGTCGCGTCAAAAAAGTATAAATTAACAAGAAATATGAATAATTTCACGCGAACGAAGTCGCGGGTAACAGCTAGTTTATTGTAAAGTACAAACAATACAAAATAATTTCTAGTAGGCTACAACCTGCCGTTTGAAGAGTTGTAACCAATAGTAGAGGTAGAACTACAAATTTCTGACTCTAAGTTCAGCTGGTAATGTATTCAGGTGATATCGAGTCCTCTAGATACTAATTTATGTAATTTGAAAAGGTTCTATTGAAGGTAATGAATAATTTTTACCTTAAAGTCGGCATCAACCCCCATATGTTTGAAAGTGCCAACGATGTAGACTGCGTTAGCGCCGCTGATCACCATACGGGCGTGAGTGCTGTGCCTGTAACAATTATACAGTATAATCGATATTTTCTTTATGTTACACTTTTTTGTTTGTTTATTTGAACACACTAATCTCTAAAACTACTGGTTCTATTTGAAAAATCATTTTTGTGTTGGATAGCTCATTTATCGAGGAAGGCCATAGACCATAAAACATCACGCTATGACCAGAAGGAGCCGAGCAGACCGAGTGAAACCGCGCGGATATCGCTACAAATTCAAATAAACATTTTAATAAGTGACCATATAGAAGAAGATATAAGACGTTAGGCATAGGTCCTACTTAAACATTCTTGCTGAATTGTAGTTCTTAATACTATCAGCGGCGTTTTAACTTTAGTCTTTGGAAAATTATAATAGAAATAGATACAACTTATAAAATGATATACATATCTTAAGATACAACTTATAAACCATGACCAAGTACAGACATATTCAGTGTTCAGAGGCAGATAATGTGTGACGTCACCGGCCGTTTGTCACCGCGGCAAGAATTGGTTGAAGTTCAGCGCGACGCGACGTTCACCTTAGCCCACAGCCTCCTTGTAATACCCTACAGACATGAGAGATTTATCTTCGCTCGACAACCTCATAACTACTACCCCCACGAATTATTTGCTCTACCATATTAGACACATTGTACGAAGAAATATTGCTATCTACTTCCACGGATTTGCTCGACACTTTTACAAGAATTATAGTATTGTACGCCCAAACACGAATATCGACTTTTCGACAAAACCAAACTTGCCCACCTTCCGTAATGACATTGTCCTCCCATTGGAGAGCGAACGAACAAACTGTCAAAGGCCTGTCAAGTTACGCAAACTAATTTGAAGAGAAAAAGTCACGTGTAAACTTAGAAACTTGAGTCTTCCTGATGCATTTGCGAAGGCTGTGGAGTCGTATGCCGGTCACGTATCCCAGTTAGTAGGGCGCGAATCCAACACGTACCTTCTGAGGCTCTAACGGCCCTGTAATGGCCACCGCCCTATAATAACCCTGAACACTCTCGCCTCTGACTACCCACCAGCAAATTAAAATCCCTTTATGCGTGCTCCGGCGATACTTTCTTCCAACTAAACGAAATTAAATCGACGTTTCCAAAATTAGAGGCTGTGTTTGCACTTTCGAAATAGGTACTAACATGGAAGTTATTGTAATCGAATTGGAATCACATCGAATCATAGAATCCGTAAAGAAGGATTCGGTCAGGTAAAATCTTTAAACTACAAATGAAAAGACTTCACCTAAGCTTTAAAGGCTGATGAAAAACAAAGCCATTAATTATTACAATTCAAAAGAAAAGTAAAATGATACTTTTTTACTCGATTTAAAATAAACAAAACCCCAATTAAGACCCGCGGCTGGCCGGCAATTATATTTTTTGTGGAAACATAATAAACGTAACTTTCCGACTGAGCTTTATCTACATTGGAAATAGGCAAGCACGAAGCTATCTGTGAGGAGTATCGTGAGATACATCTCATTTACGCAAAATAGTGGGACGACTGGCAATAATCGTTAACACTAACTGCTCAGTTTAACTGTCGCGTCGTAGCTTCGACGTTTTTCTCCAACCAAATTTATTTTCCACAGTTTCCCTGGTACGAGGATACATTTTACTAATAGCTGCAGTTCAGGCATCTGCGACTAATATTGTGGTTACAAACTGGTATTGATCATTACTTTGAACAGTTTAACGCTCCGCATCGACACAACGGTTAAACTGCTGAACTTTGTATCGTTAACACCCGTGAGACCATCTAATTTACAAAATAAAGCTGTTCAGTAGCCGTTAAATAAATACTTTATGTTGTAGTGGTGTGATAATAAATAGCACCTCATTCGCGCTAAGCCCTTTAGCATCCGCCATCTTTATTTACGGCACGTTCGCGCCACTTCTCAGTGCGATCGCGCGATAGTGGCGCCGACCACTTCCCGCCGTTTGTCAAACAACGGCTTAGCGCGCTCACCTGAACCACGCCGCCGGTTAATTGCGAAAAGCACGTTAACGTGCAACAAACATGATATAATGTTTCCTCTCCGTGGCGAAAACCTTAATTATATTTTCCACTCGAAGCCCTCGTTTTCTTAAAAACATTGTTTAAGATTTTTAAAAACAACGCTTTGAATTTTTTCTTTTAGCCTGATGCAATACTTGCACCCCACTGTTAAGCCGCTTGATTACAGTAATAATAGGATTTTTTTTATGTCGACGTAAGGAAAAGTCGTACTGAAATGCATTATTGCATTAAGTAAGTACCTCGTGTTCGTGGTATGGTCGTAAAAGTGCAGTAAGCGGGTGGAACAAGTGTCAATAATGTCAGTAGAGCTACATAAAATCAAAACGATTTGTGGGCAGTAAGTAGAGTATTTTTTTAATAAATCGTAGTACCTATTAATGTAAACACTCACCTCCTGGTTCCTGCGACCTCGACAACCTTGCAACGTGACCGGCGCCACCAGCACGGCTGCAGCGTCCAGTAGGAAGAGGACGCGCTGCGAGCCCAGCCCTCCTCCGGGAACATTAACACCTACACACAAAAACAATGTTTTACTTACATCGCCCTATTTTACTTGGCAAACTTTCTGATTGAAACAGACGGTTTTATTTACATTTCCAAGTCCGCATAAATTAATTTGATAACTTCTCCCGCGTCAATACCGAGGGAATGCTCGATTGATGTTGTTTTAACAATCGTCGTATTGTTCGCTCACCAATATTTTACGAGCCCTGTCTTCAATCTAAGAGCCTGAACGAGCGCTTCACGAAACGTTGAGTACGAATTAACTAAATTACAAAACTTTACAAGCCTTTCGACGGCGGGTTGAAAAATAGCTTTCTGACTAAAACTAATATTGCAGGCCAGAAACAAAACAGAGCGGAGTTGTAACGAAGTTGTTTCAGACTGGCGAGTTTACAACCGCGGGCGTAGGAGTGTGTAACCCGCTCCGTGCTCGTTTACGTTTACAGCGGGTGCTGTTCCGCCAACAGCGTCATCGATAACGTAAACGCGGAAGCATATTGCCACCGAGACTCGTTCGGTCGATTGGCTTCTGGCATTCCGTCCTCATTTTCTTCACCGCATCTCTGGCAATATTTTTTTTCGTAAAATGTTTTCCTGCTTTCGACAATATTGCGCCCGTTTCAAAGGGGCGGAGCCGTCGAGGATAAAATCGCTTTCACATTGAGTGAGCACACTAATGATTGAGTTCCGTGCGGTACGGCCGGCGCGGCGCGGCGTACGCGGGCGACGTCTAGCACGGGGACAGTCGACGTCCGCTCACCCTATCCTGCAGCCCTTTGATCAATGTACTTCACTGTTTAATGGTTTTAAAAGCATTTCATTGTTACGGATTTCGAAATGGATTTGATTTAAACAAACTAAATTTGAATGTCTACATTACTGGTAGGGTATTGAGGTAGTGGACATTATTCATGTCGTTGACCCGAGAATATGAAATATTCTGTAACTTTGATCCGCTGAAAACTTGTGTACGTAGGTACAGTTAGACTGGTGAGTCAATACAACTGTGGCCAAATTAATACAGCTGTTTAATGTTCAAAGTACGTCGGTGGCTCTGACTGCTCGTAATATAAAGCTCTACGGGATAGTTTGAATTTGGAAAGTCACGTCTATTCTCTGTGGTGTGTGCCAACTCGCCGATGGCCATTACGAGTTTGGGACAGATAATATTCAGTAACATTTGACATAAGCATTCCGGTAACTCTCAAACGGAACGTCCATAAACCTCTAACAACGTTATTCAGGGGAATTATTATTGAATCTCGTAGAATATTAAAGTTATTAACGTTCAAAATATTGAACTGAAATGCTCCTTTTCAATTGTTGGATACATTAATTATTTACTGAAAATATTTAGAGTTGTCCTCTAGTTTTATTATTTAATTATAGTTTTCTAATGTTTCTAATTTAAAAATTATAGTTATTCGTAGCACCTCTATTGTATTTTTATACAAATCTACTAAGAACCAACCAAACAACGTTGAACGCGGTCGTGAAGTGTGATTTTTTACACAAATGTACAAAAGTACATAAAAATCACACTTCTGGCTATGCACGAATAGACTTTATCAGAAAGCACCACAAAAACATTCAATAAATACGTGTAAGTGTTCTGTATAATGAAGTCACATAAATTCATTCCCAATTTTCTATTAAGGCGAGGTTTTTTACACGCGACCAGACAAAAGCACTTCAGTGACACCCATTAATATTCAAAAGCTCTCGTGGCGCCATCTATCAACACCTTTTTATATGAAGCAATCAATTCGCGGCTCGAGAGTCGTCCAATTACGAAGCGATCTCGAACCGATCTATTAATTACTTGGTGACTGCGCCTGATTCTACCATAGTTCATATCTTTATATGAATTAAAATATCGTAAAATAGTTCTTGACCTTAATTAGTGTGCTTTATACCTACATTTATAATTAGGTTTTCTTGGTAATTAACTTCTGATTCATTGGCAGTTGAACAGAATTATAGTAATTTTTTCGATTTCTGTAATATGACTGTTAAAAAGCTTCGAAGACCATCATCTTCATTTGATGAGATATCGGAAACCCTTCTTCCAAATCTGTTTTATTTTAATATTGGGTAGGAAATGGATTGCAAATAAAAAACGCAGCGGAATAGGTATGCTGATTCTGAAGCCGTCTGCAGTTGTTGAATAGTTTGGCAGGCATCTCCGACGTGGCTTATCATTGTTATCTTATTGCATCAGATATTATTTCTGCAACTTTATTATTGCAGCTTAATTTCGTTTCGCTTCTTAATTTTATGTGTTGAAATATCCTACAATTTCACATACATTTCTTATGAATCAAATTGACTTCATGCTTTCACAATTAGAATTTATAATTATCGAACTCAGAAATACATCACGGAGCATAGGTTTTATTGTCTTGTATTCATAATAAATTCGATTATCAAAGGACACCAAAAATTCCTTAACCTCAGAAATCAATACTGGCCTACAACAAAATGCAAACTCAAATCTCGTAATTCGAATTTTAAAACGTCGATGCAGAATTCATGGCGCGCAGTTGATAGTCACGCGCAGGCTCTCGAGTGGAGTGTTCGCGCCTCGACCCAGCAACGTTTAGAGGCTCGCTGCCGACATGAGCAGCAATTTACTAGAGGAGCCGCCGAGCCAAGTGCAGACCGTACTTCACACCATATTTTAATAACATCTAAATATTTGTGACAGTCGCTAATGGAAGTGCTATGCGCTTGAGTTTGTGGTTTTTCCAATTAACATTCTCGTTGCATGTTTCTTTCGTACACACCATATGCATAGTTCTTATTCAGAATTAAATAAATGATTTCATCTTAAAATGTTCCATTCTAGTCACAAGTGATTCTATTTTTTTTTTAGATAAAGTAGGTTGATACTATATATCAGCATAAATGTTGAACATGCAAACCATAAAATTAAATACTACATAGTGTATGAGACAAGTACTACACGCACCAGTAGTAGTAGTAGTAGTAGGACTGTCGTAGTCCATTTATGCTCATTTCAAAAACAAATCCAAATAAACTCAACAATCCTAGCCTTCGCAATCCGAACACCCACAATGGCGGAGTTGATATCATCAGCTGTCACGCACATGTAAGCCAGAAAACCTCAAGCGGTATATTTATTCCCAAAGTGGTCCTATCCAAATAGTAAAAACCTTCGGTATATAACAAGGGATTTATTACTTTGTTTCCTTCTTGATAAAACCGAAAATAATATGACTGGGCGAAATTGTATAACAGTGGCTTAATGTTATGTTATGGGGCGAGTTATGTAATTCCTTGTTCTCGTAGTGTAGTGGGTTCGTCGGACGCGCTGTAATTGGATTTAGTCTGGACTCCGGAGTGCGGATTAGGGTTTTAAGGGCCATACTAATGATACAATTTTCAACTAACTACCGAAAGTTATCGAGTGAATAGTCTGGCTTTATTTGATTCGAGATCGTACGTGCTCTAATTGTAACTTTCAGATGATTTGTTTACCTTTTTACATTTTGAGTACAATATTGTGGATGACACTAGTTTTTAAATTTGATGTAGGTATAATACTAAACTAAATTGTTTATTAAGATTTTTTAAACTATTTCTTTGTTCTTTGAGTACATTGTACAATACAAAATTGTGACCAAAATTGTCATTTATCTGATGAAGTTGTTTTTTTCATAAGATCATTTCAATAAAAACTGAAATAAAATGAATACTAACTATTACTAAATTAAATATATACAACTTAAGAAAAAAATAATTAACATGAAACTAAAAACAACTATATAGTTAATTCTTATCTCATACTTTTAATTAGTTCGTAAACTTTTTCTTTCCTTGTAAAATAAACAATGTGTCCCACAAACACGGCCCGCATACTGTCCTGTACTGTTGATGGTATTTTGTTTTCCTAGGGATGAAAGTTTGCTTGGACATTATCATTCCTTTATATTGCGTATCTGTTTGCTCAAATATACGAGTTTGTTTAGGTCCCTGCGATTGATTTATGACAATATCTATCTAGTCGACGTCTTCTCGTCTTGAAATGTGATATTATCTATGACTATGACCATAGAAAAAGTTATTAATATTTTTAGACATAAGTATGGCATGCATTGTTTCTTTTTATAGCAATTTTATGTAATGTCATTGCCAACATCAATTTGTGATGTAAGCTAATTTGTGAACGAAGGGTGTTATATCTTTTATATGTAGTTCATCTCAAATTAATTGGATTTAATTTTTATTTTTTACGTGTTCATTGTTTTGGATATTAACGTACAAATTACATCAAAAGCTCCTGATTAAAACGAACCCAAAATTTCACATGCACTGTAACTAGATGTAGAGAAAGTAACTCTCAATTAACACGAGGTTATAGCTGACTGTCACCTTATTAGCATTTTAACATCAGTAATAAACTGAAATGGCTAAAATATCAAATGGAAACACTAAGAAAACCACTTCCGAAAGTCTCGTTATGCCATCCGTCAAGGTACCCAAGACTTGAGTAACTACATAATTATGCATCTAATTAAAATTTACGACTATTTTCTTTTTTCTTTTCATGTGCGATGAAAGCATGAACTTCGGGAGGAAGTCAAGAAAACTTGTGAGGACTTGTGAGGAGTGATGCGGGTGGGAGGGCCCGTGTTATCTGTGAAGTTCCCTCATTAACTTATACGTCAACATGACTACGTAAATGCTCCTCGTAAGCCAGGCGTCGCACCGAGTTACGCTGGATTATTAGTACGTTGGTAAGTCTTAGGAATTTTTGAGGTAGATTTCCGTTGGAGCTGGAGTGAAAAGTAATTCAATGTGGTTATTTTTTACTGATAGGGAACAAGTTAGTAGAGTGTCATAGAATGATTTACAGTGCCTTTGTTTTTACAAAGCTTCAATGTAATGTAAGTTATAACTGTTTTACGAAGCAAGATGAAAGACTATAAGAAGTTCTCTTAGAAAAATTTGTCACAATAATAGCTTTCAATAAATCAGACAAAATAT